AGGCTGGCCTTGAACTCACAGAGATCTGCCTGCCTCTGCCTGCCTCCTGCGTGCTGGGATTAAAGGGGTACTCCACCACTGCCCAGCCAGCAGTTATCTTCATTTCACTGAGAGAGAGGAGTCTTGCTTCTAGACTCACAGCCCAGGCCTGAGCCCAGCATCCTGTCTCTTCAGCTCCCTCACCCCGCTACAAGTTTGGGGTTCTTTTCCTCGCAGACTGAAATCCATAGACATTGGTGCTCTTGAGCTTAGCGGAAAATGTTTTGAGTTCTACATTTCATTTTCCTTCATGACATACTGTAAGACTGAGAGTGTTGCCATGACCCCTTATGCTTCCAGAGGTAGAAATGCTTCAGAGGAAGCAGTAAGAACTGTAGTACATTCTCAGACTTCCCATACATTTGATGCCCAGCAACTAAAAATAAATAAATGGTTTTCCATGCTGATGATACAAGATTTGCTGAGCTAAAGTTTGTTGTACATATGAAGCCTGGATTCAGTCCCTAGCACTGTAAAAAAAAAAAAAAAAGCGGGGTGGGGGGATTCTGATTTGTTCAGGCCCAACAATACCACAGGACAGCCTCCAAAGCCATAGAGAAACCCTGTCTCAAAAAACCAAAAAAAAAAAAAAAAAAAAAAAAAAAGGTTAAGTGGGCTGGGCGGTGGTGGTGCATGCCTTTGATCCCCAGGACTTGGGAGGCAGAGTTAGGCTGATCTCTGAGTTCGAGGCCAGCCTGGTAACAAATAGCAGAAGTATTTTTAACAGCTTATGTGGAAGTAGCAGAACACTACAAGCAAAGACAGATAGGTGGCAGCGTTCACCCCTGATCTTACACAGTCTTCCCCCACCCAAGTCCACATGGGCCCCCAAGAGATTGTTCCCTTTACCATGTGTCAAGACCCTTCTGGCCTCTGCCTACCCGCCCTGGGTAGTTCTTTTTCAGCAACCCCCTGAGGATCCTTAACATCCTCTTGCTGCTGGAGGGCGCCGTCATTGTCTACCAGCTGTACTCCTTAATGTCCTCGGAAAAGTGGCACCAGACCGTTTCCCTGGCCCTCATCCTCTTCAGCAACTACTATGCCTTCTTCAAGCTGCTCCGGGACCGCCTGGTACTGGGCAAAGCCTACTCGTACTCAGCCAGTTCCCAGAGAGGCCTGGACCACCGGCCCTCCTGAGCTCCAGGGCGATGCTCAACACAGCATCCAGGCTGCACCCAAGGGCCTCCTGGCCAAGGGCTGTTGGGTTGTGTTGGGGGGGAGGGGCAAAAAAACAAAAAACCCAAAAAAATCCACCAGAGCTTTGTATTTTTGTTACGTATGTTTCTTTCTTTGATAATTGATGTGATAAGAAGAAAAAGTCTTATTTTTATACTCCCAATAAGCCTGTGTCCTGTGGTTCTTTCTCTGTGGAGTCAGAGGTGTGAGCTTCCAAACTGGGATGCTCCTTGTCTGGCTTCTCTGGATCCCAGAGGCTATGATAGCTGTGATTGCTGATACTAACTGAAGGCCAGTTGTGTACAAAAGCTTCTGTGTGTACTACTTCAGGCCTTGTCATCCTCATTTTGACAACCCTAGGGAGTTATGTGCTGCCACTCCCATAGGTGAACTGAAACTCACAGCTCTAATGACTTGCCATGGTAACAGGTCTATGGAATGGTTAGCTGGGTATAAAAATCTTCTGAAAGGCGGTGATACTGCTGTCCTAGTAGAATATATCTTGATTCTCCCAGCAAGCAGTCACCACAACCCTGTCTTGTGCCAGGTGCCAAGCCAGGACACTGCTTTATGGTGGGGAGAGAATGCTGGTAAGGTGGTTTAGAGGGTCAAGGCACTTTGCACAAACCCTGACAACCAGAGTTCAATCCCTGGGCTCAATATGGTGGAAGGAGAGAACTGACCCCTGTTAGTCATGCTCTATCCTCTACACACACATCAAATAAATGTAATTTTTAGTTATTTTTAGATTTATGTATATGAATGATTAGTCTGTATGTATGTTTGTGTGTGTGTGTATGTTCCACATGTGTGCCTAGTGCCCTTGGAGGTTAGAAGAGGGCATTGAAACCCCTGAGAACAGGTGGTTTGGGAGCTACCAAATATTTTCTGGTAATCAAACCCTGGTCCTTGTGGGAGCAGCAATGGTGAGGTGAGCTAACTCTCCAGCTCAATCAGTGTAATTTTTTTTTTTTTTTCCGCTGAGACAGGGTTCCTCCTCTGTGTACCTTTGGAGCCTGCCCTGGAACTCACAGAGATACACCTGCATCTGCCTCCCGAGTGTTGGGATTAAAGGCGTGCACCACCACACCTGGCATAACACAAATTTTAAAATCACATTTATTGGAAGCCAGCTCGTGGTGATGCATGCCTTTAATCCCAGCACTCAGGAACCAGAGGCAGGTGGATCTCTCTGAGTTTGAGGACAGCCTGGGCTACATAGTGAGACCCTGTCTCGAAAAAAAGTGTTTTCTGAAAAGAAAAGAATAAAACAAACAGCACAAAAGGGAGGCAGTAGTGATTGCTCTGGCCACTCGGTGAGCATGAAGAGGAAAGCTTCCCACTGAGAGCACAGGAGAGGAGGTTTGTGGTGGTGGGGAGAGTGAGACAGAAATGTGTCCAATCACATGAAAAAGTGAGAGATCTCCGGGAAGGTCAGATCCTGACTGAGGGGGACTGTCCTAGAATGGAAACAAAGCTATGTGAAGGGTCCCCTGGCTCCTCCAGGCATAGTTTAGGGTGCTCCAAGGAGAAGGGCTGCACTCACCTCAGCCTCTCTACTCTTGGCCACAGGGTATGCAGATGAGCTGTGGTGGAGGGGACACAGACTTGACCAGTTTGGTGCCTCTGTTTATCAGGCACTGTGCCTGAAGTTGGGGTAACACAGATGAGGAAGATCTCTTCCTTTCCTTAGATGATAGGGAGATGTGAATATACCTTGGGAGTAAATCACTGTGAAATGTTAAAGCAGAATACAGCTGTAGGAGCAGAGAGGACCCAGAAGACAGGCTTCTCGGAAGAAGTGATAAGGGAATTGGATCTTGAATGGTTGATCAATGGTCAAACAAGGGCAGGGATGGTACCAGGGTCCAAGCCCAGGGGACTGCATAAGCAGATGCAGAGAAGATGGAGTCTGCTTGGGGAAAAGGGTTCCTCAGCTATGCTGGGAATCTAAGCTTCCTTTGGTGAATGGTCCAAGAACCAGCCTGTGTGCCAGATTGAGATGTTTGGGCATTCCTGAGAAGGGGCAGCAGCAGAAAATAGCTAGGCAAAAAAGTGACACTAATGTAGTTCCCTTTCTTTTGTTTTCTTATGTTGGTCTTTTTCATATATATTTTTTCATATATTTTTTTCCGTATATACCCCCCCCAGCCTAAAACAGGGTCCTGTACTTGCTAGGCCAGTACTCTTACTCTACCACTGAGCTAAATCTCTAACCCAAACACTAATATTTTTTGTTTTTGTTTTTAATTAGTTGTGTATGTGTATGCACAAGCAGGTATTTTTGTGTCACAGAACGTGTGTAGAGACAATGTACAAGTTTCAAGGGTTGGAAACCCCTGTGTACCAGAAAGTCCAGGGCCCAGCTCTGGTGGGTCATCAGGCTTGTGCAGTAAGTACTTTTACCTGCTGCCATTTCTCTGGTACTTAATGTCTATGGTTTTAAAGCAGATGGGGCGGGGGGGGGGGGACAATTGGGCCTGGAGATGTGTGAGGTAAGGAGTCAAGTTAGCATGATACATTTTACTTGAGTATTTCTTTTCCTCCTGTTGAGTTTTTTCCCTTCATTGGCCAGGCATTTGGGTAGACTTGGCAATTTGTGATAGGCCCTAAGGTCCAGATACAAGAGTCTTCTTTCTCCTTACAAAAGATGGAGACTAAAGATTGGCCATAACCCCAGCTCTGTGTGTGGCACTAGGTATCAGCCCAGCATTCCTTGATTCAGAAGGCAAAAGCTTTAATTTCCTCATCGCTAGGAAAGGGAGCTCACTAACTTGTGAATTTCTTTTTTCTTTATTCATTCAGTAGTCATAACCCAGGTGGTGGCCATGGTGTTAAGCAATACAGAACTGACCCTTACTCTAACTCGTGTCTATTTAGTTCTGCACCCCACTTTTTAATTTCATTGTTTGGTATTTTGATTCACACACACACACACACACACACACACCCTCTCGCTGGAGAATCTTTTAAACTCCTCTTGGTGCGATAGTGCACACCTGTGAGCTCAACACTGGGAGGTGGAAGCAGGAGATCTGGAGTTCAAAGTCATCCTTATCTACTTATCAGAGGACAGCCTGGGACACCCCCAACCCTGTCTCACACAAACAAAATAAAATAAAGGTCTGGAGCCTTTCATCCCAGTGCTTGAGAGGCACAGGTAGGTGACTCTGAGTCTGCTGTCTGCCTGGTCTATAGAGAGGTACAGGTCACCCAGAGGCATATAGTGAAACCCTGTCTCCAGTGAACAAAAATGAGAAACAAACTCCAGTCTAATCTTGACTCCTTTTCCTTATCTCCATAGCCTTGAACAAGTCACTTCCCCTCTCTAGACGATCCTTATTCAGTTCTATATGGCCTTAATTATAAAAAGAAGGGGTGTCTTTCTGGGAAAGGAGGCCTCACCATAAAGAAGAAATAAAAACAGGAAAAGTTGAGAACTTGGTACATTGTTCAGTATATATTCTTTGTAGTCCCCTTAAGCCTGTCTATTCCTTCCCTGATTGACACCTGGAGTGGCTGCCTTCTGGGGCCTTATTTTAGGTTTTTTGTTTTTTTGTTGTTTGTTTTTTTTCCTTGGTTTTTCGAGACAGGATTTCTCTGTCTTTGGAGGCTGTCCTGGAACTCTCTATAGACAAGGCTGGCCTCGAATCCACAGAGATCCCCCTGCCTCTGCCTCCCGAGTGCTGGGATTAAACCACCAACGCCCAGCTGCCTTCTTCTTTAAACGCCTGCTCACCCTGTCATCTCCAGGAGGGATAGGGGCGTGAGGGTTGAGAACGCGTTTAGTACGGTATAAAATGTTTGTCCCTGTCAGGCCGCCGTCCTGCAGGTCCGCCATATTGTCTGCCGAAGCTGCCGCTGAAGCCACAGCTGCGGCCGCCGCCAAGTCTGAGCGAGCGGAGCCGCGATGGGTGAGTGAGGCAGCTCGCAGATGGGTGCTCGGGCTGAGGTCTTGGGGATCGGGGTCTGCGAGGGCCTGTCTCTCGTCTGAAGGAGATGTCGGAAGCGTCCCGATAGGTACGGGAGGAGAAATCGGGTCGGGAGTGCCCCTCAGGCCAGTGCAGGGCCGGC